ACTCTGCTCAAACTAGTATATACTACTACAGTCAAACTGAGTGTGGATTACAAACTCTGACCAGTAGTTAAAGACTTATTAGAAACAAGTTAATCTTTTTTCTTACTGGTTGTCATCTTATGATAGGGAGCCTAGTTTTCTTCATTTGTTAACCATTAGAGGTAACTTTTTAACTTGGGTCAAAATTAGAATGGGGGAAAGAAGTCTTTGTAGAGATCACTTACTAAATTTCTCTGCTATCATTAGCCAGCAGTGAAGCTGAGATGTAAGGCTCAAAGAGCATATCGAACTTCAAACTGTTAAGCTTTGAACATTGATGCTACTAAGAGTTGGTACCTGCTAAATAATCAGATGCAGCCCCGTTGTAACGAGGAAAATACTACATGAACAACTTTTGCACCCTAGTCCTATATTCTATGTATATTTGTTTACTTCAAAATTACAGTAAAAACTGATAGCTGAGCTTAGGATTCCTGGGCTTCAAATCAGCTTTTGTATGTCTGTTCCCTAGGTTGGTGGATAGCAGAGCTGATGCACTTGATTTCCTCAGGGGTCTGTCAGCCTTACTTATCCCACTCCTGCCATTCATGTCATTGCAAAGTGTTGATTGTAGCCTATGCTGACATAGAAGCACTTGAAGTGGATGTAGGGTTGAGAAAATGAAGCTGGAAGATTGGTGGGTGTAGAAGGAAATAGTCAACAGCATAAGCTTTTGTCAAAAGTACTAATCTTGTTTTTTAAAAAAACCTGTTCCTTCTAGATTCCTTCCATTTATTTTATTTATTTTTTTGTTCTTTTTCCCATATCAATTCTCTTTAAACCTTAACTTCACTCTCAATTGATTCTCTCCTCCTCTTTGTCTGAAAATATTAGCCAACGAGACTATTTGGATATTTTTATTATTGCAGGTAGTTAAGGTTGTAAATTTGTTTCCATTCTGATAACACAAATTCAGCTTTTTCAAACATTTACCTTTGGACTAATTTTCTGTGCATTATCTTAACCCAATAGTGAATACGTTTTGTAACTTATTATCATACTTAGCTTTTAATGTCACATTTCATCTGTAGATCTCAAAACACGTCACAGAGGGCAAATATGATAACTTATAGCATTCCCTCATATAAGCCCCAATCCTGCAAACACTCAAACCAGGTGTAACTTGACCACATGAAAAGAACTATTAGAATCAATGGGGTTACATGTGAGTAAATTTGTACACGTGCTAAAGTATTTTTATCATAGGGACCATAGTGTATATGACATTGTAGAAGCACTGTATACATGTTAGCTTAATTAGACATCCTAGACTACAAATTGTTTTTCATATACAATCCCACCAATACAAGTGTAAGGAAGTAAGATAAGAAAGAATTTGATCAGTGTTGTCTTTGTTTAACATAATGTAACTGTGTCTACAGTGAGATAGCGAGACTGCCCCCCCCCCCCCCCCGACTTGCGATGCAATCCATTCCTGGGGAAGTGTCACAAGCTGGGGCCGTCGTAACTCGAGCCCTCATTTACTATAGGTGCAGTGCACCTGTCATAAGTGCTGGCTGAGCACGTTAGTTGGGGGTCTTTTAGCCCCTTCCACACTTACAAAAATGGCTGTAAGTGCAGGGGGTTAGAACTCGGGCAGTTGCATGACGGGTCCTCTTGTATATCTCAACTGTTTTTCTTAATGTTACATAATTCATTCAAAGATACGAAAATTCACCCAGAACAATAAAGAGTTGTCCCTGCTTTTTCAGTAAACCTCACTGCTTCTGTGTTGTACAGCCCTGGCTCAACACCCTGACATCAATATCCTGCTTTCTACAGCACAGTGGCCTCATTCTGATTTGCTACCTGCGGAGGTTAATTATTCATTTAAAAAGTAATTTAGGATTGTAACTGAATGAACAATTAAGAAAAATGATCATGATGACCATAGCCAAAACATTTTTGCAAGTGGAAATAACCACTGATAATAAATGAAGCTTTTCACTATTCAATGCAAAAATCAGTAAAGTGGAATAACTGCTATTTAAAATTCTTCATTAATTTTTTTCCTTATGGTACTGTTTTCTATAATATGCATGTAATATTTGTCAAAAAAAGATCAGCAGAGAAAATTTGTACTGAACAAATGAATTCTAATATACCATTATTTTTCTTGCTCATATTATCATTTACCTGTGCCCTATGATCACAAGGGAAGGTCAGTAATTTGCCATATTAACTTATTTGTCCTTTTAAGAAACAATTTCCCTTTCTACTGGATTTGGACAGTCATTCCCAGTGCAGCAGTTCAAGTAAATACACAAAATACTTGAAAATATTCCTTGTTGGTCCAAAAGGCTGGAGGGAGAGGCTGTGCGTGTGAGCATCCTGGAAAGCTGCCATGTGCTCCATCACATCCACCATGGACAACAAGATTTTCTTGGTTCCCCACTTCCAGTTGCTTACACACTCTTCTGACCTCACGCTCCATGTTATTCAGATGAAGTCATCCAGTAAGGTAAAGCTGCTGGATCAGTCATCAAGATGCTGAAAAACCTGGATCCCTTGTCTGCTTAGATGACCTTCCACAACTTTTTAGCACTTGGTAAACACCCTTGGCGCTGTGGACAAACCATAAGGCAGGACCCTGTACTCCTCGAAAGATGTTCCTTCTAGGAATCTGCGGTATTGCCTGTGGCTGGCTTTATAAGTCAATGAAAATAGTCATCTTGACGCAGAGAGCCAGAAGCTAGCCTTAACTCTAATGAAGAGATTATGGAGACCAGAGTTATCCTGAACTTGAAAAGACATCAAAACTTGAGACATCAACAGGCCAAAATTTGATTACAACCCTTGTTCCTTGGAATGAGAAAATAGTAGGAATAAAAACTCCTATCTCTGAATTCTAATGGCACTTCTTCCGCTGTTCTGAGTTACTGAAGCAAGAGGCAGATTCCCATCTAGAGTATCTTGTGAAAGGTCCCTGATGAAAAGGGACTGGGAAGCAGGGTGAAAGACAGGAAGGGACTGGAAATGGATTCCATACCCGTTGCTGATAAGCTGTAGGAACCACTGGCTGAGGTAATTCCATTCCAGACATGCCAAAAAATAGATGGTTGCTAAAGGGAAGAATGGGGGGAGGAGAGGGGAAGATTCCCCATATGTTCTGGCAGGATTCCAAGTATGGCATTAATTGTATTGCCAGGAGAAAGATGCCAATGGAGTTACAATGTAGAGAGAGGCAGAGTTGTCTGTACTGAGATCCCTGCTTCCTTTCTGGTTTCCAAGTCCTCTGAGGGTTTTAATAGTATTGAACAGGGCGATGCCATCTGAAAGAACTCTAGGGTCTATCTTGCTTTAGGGATGTTAGATATTGAATAATTTAATAATTGTGTAACTACATCAAAATTTTGCACTTACACAATTATTTGAGATGCAGAAGGGGATTCATGACTGGAATAGAGTTTTGGGATGTGGGCACTGCTTACCTCAGGTGGCTCCTGGGTGATGGTGCAGTGGGGCTAAGGCAGGCTCACCCCTGTCCTGGCCCTGCACCACTTCCAAAAGCAGACAGTAAACTCCATCCCAAGTCAGACAGTAAACTCCATCCCAAGTCCTGTTGTCTTCACCTTGACATCAGAGCCCCCTTTTCCCCCTTTCCCCCTCCTGCCCTGCACAGCAAGCAGGAGGCTTCTGAGGGGACAGCTCCAAGGCAAAGGGCAGGAAATGCTCAGCAGTCTGCGGAGGGCAGCTGAAGTGCTGGGCTTGATAACCTCTTGCCCAAACCAGTCAGGATCACCTATCAGAGGCTCCAATATATACCAGTAGATCTGGATCTACTGGTTGGTGACCACTCTTTTAGGATATCTAAGGGTGATTATCTGTAAATTATGCAAAGGAAGTCTGGGTTATATTTGTTTCAATATGCGGTATGGGTCAGAATCTTAGAGAATCTGTGTGGATCTGAATCCGTTTGTATAGGAGCCTAATCAACTCCCTCTAAATAACTTCATTTTCACACACCTGTCCCTCATTCATTATAAATTTTAGTTTTTCGTTGTGTTCCAAAATAAACTTGTTCATAAACTGAGACTAGTGTAAATAATTATATTTACCAAAAGCACATGGTAATTACTTGCATCTGGAAGCTGGCTGTTAAAACAGCTGTCCTTCACGTAGATCCAGCTCTAGGGTCTTTCTTCTAAGACTGCCACTGCCAGAGACAGGATATTGGGCTAGATGGCTCATTGGTTTGATCCAGTATATTCGCTGTGATATTGCGAAGTAGGTACTGATCCAGCCAACTCAAATTTTTAATGCAGGATCCATCTCTCTCCTCCCCCTTTCCTTCGCCCCAGCTAGAAGACATATACTATGTGTTTATCCATTCCGATTTAATTCAAAGAAATGTATGTATTTATTTAGCGGAACAGATTTTGATAACGGATCATCACATTTTCTTGATTCAGATTGCGTTTGAGAACTGTTTCCTGGCTGATATGGGAATAGGGACATGATGAGCTGAAAGCAACATTTGCTTTAAAAAATTATTTGTTTTATAAAGTAATGAATCTTCATGGAGTTTATCAAAGGAGAAAGTGTCAATGAGGAAAAAATGCCTTATGTGTTTATTTTCTGTAGGTGTTTGGTAATAAATGTATCAAGAAATATAAAGTAGTCCCAATTAGGGGATGCATAAGGGAAAAGGCCAAAATTGGTTGATTATTCACAATTCCTTATTCAAGGTCCCTGGTAGTAATGCAAAGGCTGACAGTGGTTACTTGCACATGGTGAAGCTGGAAATACCATTGTACTTAACTGCCCTGAGATGTGGAACCTTCACAATTCCCTAGTAATAGTAATGAAGAACAATGCCCTAATTACTCTTTGTGAAATTACTTCCTGGTTGGGGAAAGGCTTTACTGTTCATTGAAGTGCATTATTGTTACAGCTGTAGTATTTGTGTGTTGCTGTTGTGAAGGTTGTGCCTCACTGACTTGTTGTCTGTCTCTTTGTAGTGCCAATCTTTCTAAAGCTGCTTGGGGAGCTCTGGAGAAAAACGGTACCCAATTGATGATTCGTTCATATGAGCTTGGAGTCCTTTTCCTGCCATCAGCATTTGTAAGTTCATAATTTAGCAACAAATGCTTAAAACTCAGACACTCTGCCATTGCTGTGATCTTTAAAAAGAAGCTATAACCACAATATCCTAGCTATATAAAAGTTGTTTTGAGCTGCAAATCAAATTTCTAATCCCCTCTGATCACTCACTTTCCTGAAATCCACTGATGATAGTCATCAGACAGTGTCACTTTGCCCTTTCCCAGAGTCACTACTTTTAAGAGCAAACTTTCATATTTCTGTGCAAACTACTGATACCACTGATAGTATTCTAATAATCTAGTTATCAAAGGCAAAATTGGAAAGTAGAAGCATTGCTACTAGATATTCTTACTATATATATAAACTCACAAAATAGACTTTGAGAAGCAGCAGTAGAACAGAATACTGAGAGTTAGAAAACTTCAGTTTCTCTACTTGGTTCATTGTAGGGCAAGTAAGCAGAAATATTCAAGAACATACACTCAATTCATGTAGTTCAGTTTTTAGTTACCTTGACACTTAGTCTGATTTTCAAAGAGATTAAGAGTACAAAACTCCAGTTGAAGTCCATGGAACTTAAATGTGCTTATCAGCTCTGTCACTCCAGACTTAGCTATGTCTGGATGGATATCAAAATTTAAAGCATACGAGTTTGAAAGTTTTGGCTTTAACCTGCGTGTGTCTCGGTTTCTTCATGCAAAACAGGACTTGTAAGTTCTCCTGATGAAAAATGCAATATAATTGCAAAGTATGAATATGTTGTTGCTGCTTTGTGTTCTACTTTATTATAGATGAACATGCTAAAAATAATTCCTAGATAGAAAACAATACAAATCTTCAAGGGCTGGAAAGTGCTACATGAATCTATTATCAAAATGAGACCAGCAGTAGCAGTTTGTCTATGACCAGAAAACACTGAAATTCCCTTTTTCATGGTGGTGATTTTCTAGCTGCCAGAGAAAATAAATTAAGGTGCATCTTTCATTGGAACAAAATTCCTCCAAGATCATGTATACTGAACACATAATTTCATCATTTAATTTGACAATACATAAATAACCAACAGAGCACTTTTAAAGAATGAGATTTCATGAAAATATTTATGCATAATAATTTGTAATTACAGTTTCTGATTAGTAAAATAGAATTGCTGGTTTCCTGCTGTGGCTTTTTATTCTGGGAGAAGTGTCACATTACACTCTTGAAACTTACTAAGCAATTGAAAGCAAGTACTGGGTGACATCCATAGATGGTGGCAGCATTTCCATAATTTAAAAAAAAAATCGCAAAAATCATAGGGAAGCAAAAACGTATTGCTCTCAGAGGTCCTTAGAATTATCTAAGACTCATAATAACCTCAAATGCTGCTCTCCTGATGTACAACAGAATATTTAGTGACAGTGCTGGGATATGAAATAAGAAAACCTCCTAATTGACTAGAAGGGTTGATCATTTTGGATTCAATAAACTCTCTAAAACAGCAAAAAATAAACTCATTTTAATAATTCTTGTTGATAGTCATGAAGTGACTTAGGCAGAAATTATCACTGGGCCAAGATTTATTTGACTCTGTCAGCAGCTGACCCCACGGAAATGAACTAGCTTCTGCTGTTTACAGCTGCTGTTAAGGAAAGTCAGCTTACTTGAGACAGGGATGAGACATTTAAAAGACAGATCTCTCTGCATTATTAACATCAACCTTCTCAAGTGTTACAGATGCCTCAAAGGCCAGTCTGTGTGTAGTCAGTGGTTTCCTGTTCTGTTTTTGGATTGTGTGTGGTTTTGTTTTTTTGTTTTTGTTTTCAGACATTTTTGTTGATAGATAGATAGTGTGTACGCGCGTGTGCGTGCAAAAAAGCAGGTGGGGGAGCAAAGGTAAAAGTACCCTTAAGTATCCTTGGTCAAAGGAACTATGCTTATTTCAGAATCTGGGGTTTTGAGTAATAAGTAGAAATAAATTTGTTTTCCCAAAGCTACTCAGCAATAATAATCTGACAAGCCGATCTGTTCCACATGTGCAGTTTGTAAAATCATGTACCTCCACGTGCTAAGATGGGAATTTAACGGTGCTTGGCAATGGGAGATAGAGCTATAGCCTGTGACCATGAGGAACCTACTGTATGGGCTTCTGTCTGGGGGAGATTAGAATGGAGGCAAAGATGGGACAGCAGGATCCCCTGCATCAGGTTTCTGCACCACTCAGATTTGCCCTGGCCCATTATCTTTTCATCATGAAGCAGGGAAGGGGCTCTGCCATTACACTACCAAGCTCTGATTACCTACTGCCTCGCCCATTGCAAAGGACCCACTTCCATTCAGGAAGTGGGTGGGTGTGGCCACAGTCAATGTTCTATTTTTTTCATCCATTTACGGAATAAATGTTTAAGTTCATCGAGGCATGTGTGGGTGTGCACCATATTTAGAAACACATGGTACCAGCTGGGTAGCCGCCAAATCTCAGCTTACAAGGACCACAGGCCACAGTCAAATTGACTGTGGAAACTAGGAGCCAATAGGAAGGCAGGAACCTGACCTAGCTGGTGTGGGGCAGACCTCCTCCTTTGTGAATGATGGAGAGGACAATGACAATGTTTTTAGCAGTGACCACACAGCTTTTCCAAGCAAGTACACTTAACCCAAGAGTGAAAAGCTTTACAGAGGAAACTATCAAACAAACAAGATTTAAATCCACACTAAACCAACCAGAATTCACCCATCCTCCAGAGGAAGTACCAACATCCCTTCAGCAAAAGTTCAGGTTGCCACCTGCCACTTGAGAAGAAGCAGCCCCATGAGTTTCATCAGAATCTGCAAAATCCAAGGGATATCTTTTAAAAAGGCTTATAGCCCCCAAGACACATGAGACTAAGAACCCAAAGGAATTTGCAGAGACTCAGAGTCTTTGTTTGTTAGGAAGTTTTCCCTAAAATTGCACACTAATCTTACCATGTAAAAGTAGGAGCACTGGTGTAGCAAAGCAATAGCAGCAGCCACATCTGAGCACTGAGTTATATGTAGTCTTAGAGCAGTGGTCACCAACCATCAGATCGGGATCTACTGGCAGATCTTGGAGCCTTTGACAGGTGATCCTGACAGGTTTGGCCAGGAGGCTATCAAGTGCTGCCACTTCATCTGCCCCCCTAAGCACTGCCATGCTGCTCCTGTCTTCTGCCTTGGAGCTGCCCTAGCCCCAGGAGCCTCTTGCTTGCTGTGCAGGACCCAAAAAGAAGGAGGGGCTGCTGATGTCAGGGTGCCGAAGAAGAAGGGGCTGCTGATGTCAGGGTGCCCCTCCCTCTACCTTGTACCCTGCCTCCACAGAGCAGAGGGGTAAGGATGGAGAGAGTTTGCTGGCTGCTTTTGGGAGTGGTGCAGGGCCAGGGAATTGGTGAGCCTGCCTTAGGCCCACTGCACCATCACCCAGAAACCACCTGTGGTAAATGGTGCCTAAGCCTAACCTTGGGACCAGTCCTGAACCCCTCCTGCACTCCAAACACGTGCCCCTCGCCCTGAATCCCCCTGCACCCAAACTCCCTCCCAGAGCCTGCACCCATCCTGCACCTCAACTCCCTGACCCAGACTCGGCTCAGAACCCCTGCCACACTCCAGATCCCTTAGCCCAAGATCAGAGACCTCATTCCCCTCCCTCGCACCCTAGCCCTCTATCTCCAGCCTGATAGAAGTGAGTGAAGGTGGGAAAAGAAGGGAGGGTGGAGTGAGCAGAGGCAGGGCCTTAAAGAAGGGTCAGGAAGGAGGTGGGGCAAGAGTGTTTGGATTTTACTAAGATTTGCTCTATATTTATGTGCCAGCATAGATGCAACTAGGCCTCCAGTCTACCATGAACATTCAGAACAGAACAGACCCAAGCTCAAGTGACTATAGTAATCAAGAAGTGCATGTATCGAATACTTGCAACATTACAATAACTTTCTATTAAAGTTACTAGCTTTAAATTATTTTAATATTACCCATTTTCATTTCCTTTTAGCTCTCTGAAATGTTAGATATTGTTAAATGATAAAATCTGTAATAATTGGAAAAACATCTGTAGGTTGAACTTCCACAGCTCTTCTTTGATCCAAGTTGTGCTTATTCTTAAATAAATGACTCATCAGCTTTCTGAACTGTGTGCATTTTTTGTTCTTAAAGAGACCTGGTAGAAAATGAATAATTTACAGATTATACATTTATCAGTTAAGTTAAATATACCCATAAGGACCCCATATCTATGCCACTGGGTGTGAAACAACCAATGGATACGTCTGATACATTCTCGAAGCCAGCAGACTCCCAGCAACTGAATTGTGTATTTTCTGGTTTTGCTCTTTTCTTGTCCATGAATTTTTGTCCAGATCTGTGGACTCTCTGATATTTTTGTAATGTGGACCACATCCAGCCCTCCTATTCACAAATTGCTCAACTTCTCAGTGGTAACTGCAGCAATTGTTTACATGAGAAATAGTTAATTGTTCCATTGGTAGCTCCATTCCTTGAGAACAAATCTTATATTCTGTCCTCTTAATTAGGTATCCTTAGGGACAGCTATGCTTTTTCTCTTTTTTCCAGGTGCTTTTATAGGCAGCCAGGGTTAACACTTAATTTCAGTGGCTAATAGGGCAATGGCTTTCAATCTTTTCTCTTTTGTGAACTCTTAATTTTTTATTTTTTTTTGAGTGGAGTTGTGGACCTCTTCAGAAAACTTAGATATAATCTGTGTGTCTCCAGCAGTCTTCAAACCATAGGTTGAAACCACTGTTTTGTGTTAACCTTTTGTTGACCTCTGAAACATTGCCCAGGGGCTCCAAGTAGAAAACCACAGCTAAAGAAAAAACTAAAAAAGGTGGTGGGGAAGTAAAAATATAGGGAAAATGACAATGTGTCCACCTGGCTCTGCAAAGAGCACTAGCAAATTCTCCATGTATCAACTACGGTCCCAGCTCTACTGTTCGTGCCGCAGCAGCATTTTGATTATAGATAGACACAGACTGTGACTTGCTAAGGGACTACAGATATGTTTATTT